AAGGGCATCATGACTTGTGTTTCCAGCTGAAATCAAAACATGGGCCCAGATAAGAGCCAGAAAATAAATGGTAGGTTTACCTCATGAAAATAATTAATTCACTTACGGATTGTTAAGATTTGCCAATTGCCTAGGAATCTGGTATAACTGTTGAGAATCTAAAACATGCATCATACCTGCATACTGTTACAGCTGATTGTCTTGTCATTGGGATCAAGTTTCTTCGGAGGCTGAGAGGCAATGTTAGCCCAGGACGTCACCACCGGTTGGACTGTGCACACACACCAAATAAAGATAATCAACCTGTGAAATATTTTTAAAACTGCCTTAAAATTGCTGAAAGACAGACTAGAGTAAATCTGAGCCTACCTGCTTGGATAACTTGGCTTTCTGGCTTGGCATTAGTGGCACACACCTGGGGACCAGGTAGGGTTGGAGATCCTCTGCTGCCAGACTATGCAACAAAAAATTACAGCAGCACCAACATCATGAGTATAGCTTTCTGTAATGTGCAAGAGCTGTCACATAGCTTAACATTTGATATTCCCATGAGCTGACCATCCAAGAAGATGCCAATTTTGGAGTTTGGGAGCTTGTGAATGGAGGATCCCAGCACTCTTTCCGAACAGTAGGAGCTGCTTTGGCCACTGAAACACCACCCAATTCCGGAAAATCAGCCATCTTCACTTCAAATGGGACAGAATTTGTCTGTGCTGGTTTTGGCTTCCCTGCAGAAGTTGGGGCAGATCTTGTACCTTTAAAACCTGGGAATGATTTATGAAATATTAAAGGAGAAATATTTACATAAAGCAGCGGGTTTTAAACATTTTGTGCCCAACATACTACAATTCTGTTCATCAAAACTGAACAAACAAACACTGTATTGACACCTTTGCTCTACATCATCTCAACTGAATGTTGTCAGTTCATTCTTTAATTTCATTTCAGACAGTTACAGTTTATCTGCAGCATCTAGATCTTGCAAGATACCGTTACACACAAACCATTACATGGTCTTGCAACTTCAGCTGTAGAGCTCCTTTAAAGTAGGCCAAGCTTCTTTCAGAATCTCTCTGTGCCCCTTTAGCTTTCTTGGCACCATATTAACATTGCCAAACTGCTGCCAGAGGTTTATGCACTTGGGCTAAAGGCCACAGACATTCCAAATCCACGTGAAGCTGTAAGACAGGCAGCTTTCACAATAATATCTGCTGGGTCATCGGCATAGGTTGTTACTTGGAGTTTGAGTAACATGAGAAAGCAACAAGGTTGGTGCACAAACATGCCCAAGGCACTAAAGCAATAGCCAATCCTTTAATGTGTGGGCAACTCACAAGTTAGCCGATCATTCGTGTCGCTTTGCCCTCCTGTATATGGCAGTAATACGTGCAAGCTTGATACCAAATCCCATGGGATATTTGGGAATCACTTGACCACAAAATGATTTCCAATGTTAAAAATATTTTGTTTGTACATTCAATACAAAAACTAGCATCTGAACCAAGAAATTATTCCCAAAATAAGTTAATACCATGTACGCCACTTACCTTTTTTCTGCATGTCCACTGAGGTTTTGCCCATGAATTTTCCTTGAGAGTCCTTTTTGTTTTGAGGCATCTGTGAAGATTAGAAAATAACAATTTACTTCATGAATAAAGTTTGTTTATATGTAGGTTTCTGTAAATAAAAATAAAACCAACCTTAGCTTGGGGATCCTGTTTGGTCCTATTGCTCTGTAGGAAGTTATCACTGGCCTCTCTAACAGGGCGGCTGCTGCTGTAGCCATGACTCCTCGGTGCATCTCCTCCTCTGCCTGCTGGTTTTGGGCTCAGACCTGACGGGCTTCTTAACAAATTGTAACAACATGAGCACCTGATGAAAAGCCAAATGATTAAATACCCCTGAAAATTATAACTTCCTACCCTCTTGAAAACTGATCGGAGGTATAAGGGTTTGGTAGAATCAGAGGTTGCGCTGATGCTGATGTGTGGGGCTCTGCAGGCGGTTTCCTCGACCCCCTCTGGTGTCTATGGTCAAAGTCCTGGAAAGCAAAGCACATGACAGTTTTTTCTTCTGCCACCAAACAGCGTGTTGGTGTTTGACCTTTGATAATCACGCCATTAATTCCAAATTCGAGTAGAATCTGCATAAAGAAATTTAGCTTAAGACTAACCGCTATATCGATGTTTTGGACTCACAATGCACTAAAAACGAAACGCATCCATCTCCACTTGATTACAGAACATCCAGCTTATGTTGCACAATAGTAACCGCCGGGTTGAAAATGTCTTACAGTATAACTGAACTATTAGCTCATTATTGTGTTCAAACCACACATTGTCTTAGCAGTATCTCACTCGTGTAACTAACAGTTAAAGTTTGCTAAGAGTTAGCTCACGCTCAGCTGCAAAACTAACATTCGTTAGCTTTCTAGCTAACAAGCTAGCAAAAGAAAAGAACAAATGTGGCATTCATTTTCATAAAATACCTTGTCCATCACTCTAGTTGAAGTCACATCTTCGTATCTTCATATAAGCTCATACAAGTCGCCAAGCTCCATCTTACGAGTGTACAGACAATAATCTACCCCAAAAGTGTGTGCATGGCTAACCAGGCTAAGCAACCTGTTTGACAGCATGAAGCCGGAGCAGCTAGCTGCGTGAAACAGCTGGTGTTTACATGTGCAGTCAGGAGATCCACAGCGACACCCTCTGATAAAACAATGTAAACCGTTTAACGAGTATTCCTGTTAATTAAAAAAGTATAATAAACTCTATGAATCCATCTTTTATTGAGACCCCGAAGGCTGGAAAGACGCATAAACATATCTATAACTCTATACTCTGTGCATATATGTGTAAATATAAAACACTTAACATTATCTAAACATACCAGGAGGACCCCAGATTAACGATTAACGTTGTTGCTTGGCCCTACTTAATTTAAGTTGCTTAAAATTGCACTACATACACATTATTACTGACGCTGGCTCCGTAGTGTAGTGGTGTGCACATCTGCTTGGAACAATAACACATTATTAGTTATATTTTGTTGTAGTTTGCTTGGACTTCTTTGAAACTCCAAAATAAATTGTGTATTTATTTAGTATTTCATGAAAGAGAATTGCGTCTTTAAATTTTCTACTTTGTTAAATTAACAAAACTAAAAAGCTTTACTCTGAGTACCAAAAGTCAATGTCTGGTTTAATTATATAGCACATTTCATCATAGGCCTGCTTTAACTCAATGTGCTTTACACAGAAGATAAAAACACCTATGCAAGTTTATGATGAAAACAAAATTAAGTAAAGTGCACATCCATGCACACAGTTATTAACTGTAAGCCTGTGAGAACAAAAAGTTTTTGAACACAGATTAGATTAAATTTAGGTCTGTAGACAGCTTAATCCAGAGAACACGACCATACGTGTAAGCACCCTCAGCACACTTAGATTTATCTCTGGAGACGGTTAAAAGATCTGCAACTGAAAATCTGAGAAGAACGACTGAGTAATAGACACTGAGCTATTTAGAAGTTTACTGGAGGAAGTCAGATGTGTACTATACAAACCACTGAGAGCTTTATGAGCTAATAGAAGGATTTTAAATGTAATTCTGTATTCAGCTGGGATCCAGTGAAGTGACTTTAGCACTGGGATAATATGGTCCAATTTTCATGTCAGGACTCGCCGCTGCACTCTAGACAAGCTGAAGTTGTCCTACTAGTAATTTGGATAATCCTGCAAACAGAGCAGTAGTCCAACTTGCTGAACACTTGGACCAATTTCTCAGTTAGTTTGTGATTAGGATTTTCTAACTATATCTGTGGTAGAAAGCAGTTCTGGTGACCTTATTGATGTGATTATTAAAACTGAGATCACTGTCCAAAATGCTGCAGAAGTTCCCGACAGAAACAGAGTGAGACTGTATGGGATGATAAATATGAAAAAATTTTCTCTCTCTGACTTTTTGGACCAGGGACAAGGATTTCCATGTTTAAAACGTCTCTAGACAGCCAACTGTTAATGTCATCAGTGCATCAGTTTGTGAACAGAGGTTAGATCATCAGAAAGTGATAAGTACAGCTGTGTACTATCTGTGTAAGTATGATAGGATATATTGCGATTCTTTATGATAGTGCCAAGGAGGAGCATGTAAAGGTTAAAGAGTAATAGACTAGTAACAGACCCCTGATTTAATTTCTGTTACACTTTAGGGGCCAGATGTTTTGCAGTGGCACAAATGTGTGTTTTAGAGTAAAAAACATTTTTTCTTCTTTTTTAGTGCCTTTTAGTACAGCCATTTCATTTTCAAGGTGCAAAATGTAGAGAGGAGAATATTTAAATCAGTGGTACAAACTGAATTGAATCATGTTTTCAGCACACAACTGCTGACTGTGTCAAAATTTAACACTGAAAAAAGTATACCTTGCTTTTTGCACTTCATACTGACCTGAACTGACTGTGCCTATGAAATAATTGCACCTTAGAAATGAGCGCAACTTTTGTAAATCAGCCATAAAACTAACCACACCAGTTTGGGTCTTGTGCTTACATGTTATTTTGCCCCATGATGAGAACTGGTTAAGAACCTGAACTGTTAAACCAATTGAATCACAAAGTCGTTGACTAAAAAGTCACACATAATATATCAAATTTAAGTTTCTTTCTTTTTTTTTTTTTTTTTCTAAATCAAATTTAAGTTTCTTTCATATCGTACATGGAGTGTAAGGATTTTCATGGATGGTGCTTACACTTTCCTTTGTTTTAACTGGACTTTACATTTATTTTAGTTTTCTTGATATGAAAGCATCGAACTGTGTATACTATGCTCAGAATAAATCAAGTTAAACTCAGATTAAAAAACAAAACTCATGAAGAATTTCCCTTTTTTGCATTTATCAGGAATAAAGATTGTAATCTTTATTTTTATATACTAAAAAAAATCAAAAACATATCTTACCTTTAAAAATGTATTTTAGATACATGTTGTGAAGTAAAATGTATGCAGCAAAAACATTAAGTAGACCCAAATACTAAAGCATAAAGATGTTGATCAAAGCTGTACTTGAAGTACAGTATTTAATGTGTAGTTCACATAAAATGAATTAGAAAAATTATACAAAAGGTTCAAAGTAAGATAACTGTTCATTGCCATGGACTGATGTTTCATTCTCTGTAGTAAAGAATAGAACATCAAAAGGTTTTATGTGTGTTAATGCTAAAGTATCCTTTGCAAAATAGAAAATCTTAGTGATTAATAAAATACAACATTACAAAAATATCTGTGTACCGGGAGCACTAATATCACATGGAATTCCTTCTAATCCACCCAGTCTACAATACACACCGGTCTATATGAACACACAAACAACATTATGTTCATTCATTCGTTTTTGGTATTTGTACCATCTTCTCATATCATTTTGTTTCATTTTTTGATCTTTGGCCAACAGCATGGAAAAGTAAACATCCTATTACTGTGAATTTAGTGCTTGCTTTCCCAAAAGATGTAAACATCATTGCATTGATGCAAACACAAGGTTTTTTTAAAAAGTCTTTAAGTTGCTCATTCCTCTTTTAGTCTCCTGGCTATGCCCAGGAGAGCTAAGGGCAAGACGAAGGAGGCCGATGTGATAAGAAAGCAGGTCTGTGCTCCAGCAATCCAATACACTGCAAACAAATCAGTTAAAACAAAACAAATATGAATATATAACAAATAATTCAAATAGCACCATCTCAAGAGAAAAGCAGCACTATGGAAAGATCCTTTAGTTTCAGTTTCCTCACCTGAGGAGGACACAACTGGGCCCAACGCTCTGGCCAGGGCACCCAAACTACGCAGAATCCCCATCACAGTGCCCTTCTGACTGGCTGAGCCTAGAGGAATCAGTAGCAGTGGGTAATCAGCAACAGTACCAACATTATAGCAGGATCAAAATATTTTTGATACTTTGATTTGATAAAAGGCTCACCATGGTCAGAAACTAGAGTCGACAAGCAGGGGACAACTATGGCAGCCGCTGTAAGAATAGGATACATAATACGTTGGAACAATTTTATAATTTAGGGACATTTAAGTAAAATGCTATATAGCACAATATCATACAAAACAGTAACAATCTGATATTTTGCTTCTTAGAAAAGTTAGAGGACGACTTGATAAGAATAACACGAAGTATTTAAACTAAAGTGATATCATCCACTCCTGTTAGGGAGCAGACTAAAAAAAAGGATCCCTACTTCAATATGCACACATATTCTGATCAAAACAACGCCTAGATTTATGGACTTTGCATCAGATTAAGTATCAGGTTAGACACCATGTTTCTAAAATTTTGGGAGCCAAATATAATAACATTAGTTTGTATCTCAATTTTGAAAATGAATGAAAAAAAATTCCAGACATCCAGGCCTTTGTTCTGTAAGATATATCTGTGGTTTAGCTACATAATTTGCTGTAAATATAGCAGCATATAATCTGTATATCAATGAAAATGTATGTAGGATTTTCTTAGGGAAGAATGTAAAATGTAAATAGAACTGGTCCCAGTACAGAACCCTGTGGAACTCCACATGAGTATAATTCATTCTGAAATTTGACTGAAACTCTTCAGATAAACCACTCATCTGCTAATGACTTCTTGACTATGTTATAGTTGTTCATTTAAGAATTTTTGAAATAAGAGAAGGGATGGGGATTGGTCTATGATTACTTAAGACAGCTGGATCAGGCAAAGTCTTCTTAAGCAATAGTTTAATTACTGCATCCTTGAAAGTGTTCTTGGCAGTGTTCTTCTATTTTAACAGTGTACTGTCCTGTTATGTATTTTGGCAGTAGTTTATCACATAGTTTTTAGATTTATTTACACATTCTTGGGTGCTGTCAAGACAAGACAGATGAAACTGAGTTACTGCATATTTTGAATACAGTAGTTTTGACTCACCAAAGGAATACAGTGACAACCCAATGTACAGCATTGTTACATTCCACGATAACCCAATGATTACAAAGGCTGGGATCAATGCTATGATTGCCTGAAAACAAGAAAAATGGTTTAGTAAGGTAGACATTTGTGCAGTGATTTATCCTGTTCCATTAACACTAACAACAGCATTAGATCAGTATTTGCCATGCAAGCAGTTGGTGACTTTACCATACGAACAGCCCTGATGTGCTGCCCCGGTTTTATTCTGCGAGCATAACCACCCTGGATTAAAGCCATGATGACACCAATAAAGAAGAACATCTTTCCCTGCTCCATGCTGTTAGAGAGAAAAACATAAGGTTGCCGTTTGTCAGACTTAAAAGGGAAACTCAGAGTACACAGCCTTATCTTTGAGTTCATACCTTGTAAACTGGAAACGCTGGTGAGTAAGAAAACTTAAGGTGAACTCCAGACCAGAGAACAGGAAGAGGTAGCAGAAATAAACCAGCCCCAGCACTCGAAGGCTTTGCATTCCTGTGAAACACAGCCCAATAGTGCAGCACTGTGTTAAGGTTTATTCACTCTTTATAAACAGGACAATCACAGATGAATGCAGCGTATACACTACTCACCGTTTCTTGAAAGTTGATCTTTTTTCTTACTAACAGCTGCAAAATAGAACAAGGATAATGGATGCAGCAGGTCCCTGCAGTCCCCACAGCCTGAAGACAAAGCCTAAAATGGAACAAGAAAAATGATCTGCATCTCTCTCTCAGTGAATAATGATTTGAAAAAACAATGCTGTTTCTTCAGAAACAATAAGAATTATGTGAACTTGTAATTTTATTTTATTTATGTATTTTTTCTGCGGTGGGTAGGTGAAAACTGAGAAAAATCAGACATGTTCAATCCAAACAGTGATTACTGTCTCTTTGAAACATTCCTCGCCTGGTGGTTTCAGGTATGTTGCTCAATCTGGCAGACATGCACATAAATCATCACCTTACTAATAAGGTGGTGTACACAGTGGATCAGCAGCCATAGACCTGTCCAGACATGCGTTAAGTGGAATGACAAAAATTGCTTAAAGTACACCTCATAAGGTTTTTTTGAAAAACTTTCATATAATTTCTGTTGAAGAAGGAATAAAGAGGGTGGAAATACTCTAAACATTGGACATCAGTATATCCTGTGTTTAGCAATGTGAGTTTGAATGTTCTCCCTGTGTTTGAGTGGGTTCTCTCTGGGTTCCTCCCACAGTCCAAGGACGTGCAGTTAGTGGGGTTCTGAACTGCCCAAAGGTGGGTGAATGTGGTTGTCTGTCTCTATGAGTAAGCCTTGGTCAGATTGGCAACCTGTCCAGGGTGTACCCCGCCTCCTTCTCTCCCTATGGTAGCTGAAATATTCTCCAGCCACCCCACAACCCTGATAAGGATAAGCGGAAGAAAATGGATGGATGGGTGTTTGTTGGCGGTGGTCTGACTATTTCAGAAATGGATGATCTACTTTGATTTTCACACACAACCATCTTTAGGGTTTTCAGACTATGGCTCAAAAAAGACAAATTACTCGGTGAGTGGCAGTTCTCTGGATGGAAATCCAAAAGCCAGAGAAGAATGGCCAGACTTCTACGAGCTTTTAGGAGCACAACAGTAGCTGAAATGACCACTTACAACAAAGGTACGTAGAAGAATGCACAACATGTGGAATCTTGACGCAGGTGGGCTAAGGCAGTCAGAATTTGGTTTAAACAACATGAAGGAATGGATTCATCCTGCAGTATATCATGATTCAGGCTGGTAGTGGTGGTGTAATGTGTGGGGGATAATTTTTTGTACACAGTCAGTATTGTTGCTGACCATCCCAATCTTACTACAGTGTGCACATGCTCTGATGACTGATTAAAGTAGTTCACTGCACTCAAATGGACTCCAAAGTCAGCTGATCTCAATCTAACAGAGCACCTTTGTGAAATGGTGGTAGTGAAATTCCCACCATGTATGTGCAGCTGACAAAATCTCCACCTGAAACGGTTTGGTGCTCTCCTGTCAGTATGGACCAAAATCACTGAGTTTTTCCAGCACCTTGTTGAATTTAAAGTAGTTCAAAAGGAGGGCAAAGGATGGTCCAGCACCCAGCAGCCTGTTACCTTAGCTCAGCATGAAAAATTGAAAACAGTGGAAAACAGATAGTCACTGATACTGGTACTGATATTGGCCCTTATTGAAGTACTTTGTATTTAAGGTGTGTGATACTTCCTCTTCATGGGAAAAAAGTACTTTTTTACTCAACTAAATGTATTTTTCAATCATAGCAATCATTTTTAGAGAAACATATTGTAAACACAATACAAATATATGGTTACATTGTTTTTTCTACTGTTAGATCAGTATGTTGTCAAATACAGTGGATGTCCTTACATGGTCATTTCAGACAAACAGCTCTGGCAATTACTAAAGCGGTCTAACCCATCTCCTGTTGGGTAATAGGGAAGGAGAACTGAGCTAAAGACTTCTTGTTTGAGACAAAGCCCAGTGTAAGATAAATGAGCACTGTTTTGAACTGTGAGTCATGGAAATCTACACAATTGTAGCATAATAGTTCAACTTTAAGTGAAAAAGGTTCATACTTGTTCTACCACAGGGTGTTTTGGGAATCCATACAGCACAACTGATGGCTGGAAAATGTATGTCTACTGTTTAAAACTGCATTTAGTTCCGTTTGCATTAGCAAGAGTGTTTCTGACTAACCTTGACGTCCTTTGTTAATGTTTCTGGCACCATCAGCCAAATAAAGAGCAGATCGGCAGTGCTGAAAGCCAGGGCGAGCAGAGCTGGAGTGAGGTAGAAGACATTTCCTGTTGCTTTGGAGGTGATAGCAAAGTAAGCGCCCATCAGAGGCCCCACAGTGAAGCCCAAGGAGAAGGCAACGCCGATCATGGCCTGATTACAACAGAGGGAAACAGAAAACAGAAAGACACTTTATTCATCTATTCTCAATACATGTGCTAAGCTAAGTGTACTGATAACAAAAAAAAGTATGTATAAATATGACACAAAGTAATTTTAATTAATTTCACTTCAACAAAACATTTCCTGTAATGACAACAAATATTTCTGCCTACCATTCCTCGGTTCCGTGCTTTCGGGCACGGCAGGTCGGCTATGATGGCAGTGCAGAGGCTGACGTTGCCCTTACAAATGCCCCCAATTACCCGAAACAAAAGGAACATGCTGAAGCTCCGGGAAACAGCCCAGACTGCATAGGAGGACATCAGCCCTAACTGAAACACAAGGCACCCAATTAGATGTGAATGAGTCAGCTCTGGAGAAAGGGCTTTGTGTTTTCTTACAGAACGAATAGTGATAAACAAAACTTTAAAAAGTCTTAAAAAAGTGATGTTTTCCTCACTGTGGTGAGCATAAGCAGGGGTCGCCGGCCATATGAGTCTGACAGAGCCCCGGTTACAGGTGATGCCAGGAACTGTAGCAGAGAAAACAGTGAGCCAATCAGACCTGTAAGGGGGGGGCAAGGAGCATTATTAAACCAATGAGCCTGCAACACTGAAAATGTTGACCTTAACGTTGAATAAATCTGATGTTTAAAATTAATCCAATATACCTCCAAACAGGACACTGTTGTATTTCTTTTCCAAAGGAATCCCAACAGCCTCCCGGAACCAGTCCACAACAGTTTGAAGAGACTGATACACACCATCCTGCCCACACACAAACAAAGCATCACAGAGCTATAGTATAAATACCAGCAAAGTGGTTGCTTCACCATGACTCAGCAGGCGGATTCACCCACGGACTAATCGAATCAAATCACTCATGAGTTTGTTACAGTTTTTATGGAGGAGATTCTTCAAACAAAACCATCTTTGTTCGAGGATGTGTTCACAATGTAGAAATGGTCTGTTGAGGGAATTCCATTCAAAAAAATCCTATCTAACAATTTTCACACTGCAAAAAAAATGTCGTCAGTAAACACTGTTACCCTTTGATCATCACTGGCAGGAAATAAGGCTGCTGGAATCACCTTCAAAGTTTTAATGCTTTTAACCTGTTTCCTTGTCGTGTATAGCAGGCTTATCAGCTTAATGGACTGGACTGGTTCTTATATAGCGCTTTTCTACTCATCTGAGCACTCAAAGCGCTTTAATATCTGCTGTGATTTTAAAAGTGCCTTTACATGATTATACTGCTATAAATAAGTAAATAAATAAATGAAAGACCAACCCCGCTTTCTGCATAGTGATCCAAAATAGAAGGCAGCAGAGGTAGAATCAGAGTGAATCCCAGCAGGTCCAGCAGCAGGATGATAAACACAATCTTGATGACCTTTGTGGAGAAGTTGCCTTCATCTTCCTTGGATTTGTTTACGGCTGACATTTTTCCACCTGATAGTGTTTCTTTTCCTGCTGTACAAAGAGCAGCACTTTTAATATAGTGTGTTAAAATGCCCCTCGTGACTTTTCTCAAATAACACAAACAAGCAGAGCCATCCTTAAAAGAAATTCACCCTTAAAGAGTTACTTTTGTAGGCTATCCCGATCAAACTGAAGTAGTTTCTTTACATTTCCTTGAGTTTCTTGCTTTGTACAAATCATACAAAATCATCATTTAAGTACTTTTTCCTTTTAAATAAACTGAATTACTGTAACTGAAATAGGTCTCTATTTGTCTTATCACTTAAATGTGTAGGTACAGTACCTGTACCATGTGTATTTTTAAATCTATTTTTATTTAGTTAAATTTAGTAAAATAATGTTTATTCAGTTACTCAGTGTGCTGACATTTTACTCCAACTGTGGAAAACTTGTTAAAAACAGAAATAATCATTCATTCAGATAAGCAGGAGCATCCAGGGCTGGGTCGGGGAGGGCATCCAGCATAAAAAGCAGAGCCAAATCAAATATCAAATCGTTTAAGTTGCATATTTTGGTTTCAACAACTTAAAAAACGAAATAAAACTGAGAAGGTCGCTTTTACCCCAAAGGTAATTACAGTAAGTATCACTACAGTGTCCTATAGAAGTATACTAAAACACTTAAATACTCAAAGATGCACCTGAAGTCGGTACAATATTTAAGTAGCTGTATTTTCGCGTTAAGGTTATAAAAATGTGGACGCTATTAGTATGTAAAAAGAAGCGTTTCATGGACTGGACAGGTTTAAAATACAAAACGTTTACACCAGTTTATGCCGGTAAACGTGTAATTACCGACACCCTTCATTAACCACATCTACTTACAGTAAGTAATCAGGAAACAGAGGGAGAAAAACGTGTTGGTCAAGGAAGGAGGAAACAATTCCTGCAGCCTTCCTCACCCGAGCAAATCCACCTCAATTTGTATGAACTTAAAAAGCATCAACACACAAATGTGTTAGGTTGTGCTTTTAAATATCTTCACCTAAAAGCACAAAACACGTTTCTCTACATGTAAATGGTTTGGATCCAGTGGTACTGACCAATATTTATCAGCATCGCATTTTTTCCCTCGATTTTTCTCCCTATGTATTTCTTCTAATGTCACCTTAACACGTTTAACTTACCCAGTGTGCGCAGAGCGGTGGACTCAGAGAAGCAGATCAAAGTGAGGACAAGTTCACCTCGACCTGGCTCATCAGTCAGTCCATTATTGAGTACACACCAGGAAGCAGCGTCCTCTTACATTTGGATGACAAGAGTGTGTCGTAACCAACGCAAACACAAGAAAATGCTGCCTTCACGTGACCTCCGTAAGCTCGTATTTTCGCCTTTCTCCCTCGTTAAGGTTTTTCTGTGGTGGTCCAACAAATCTTTTGATTCAGTGCGTCAAAGCAGTGCTTAGAGAATTTATTGAAACAGTAAAGCTGTAATGCCATGTAGTTCACTTTGATGACTGGAATATAATCAAACAGTGGCATGGCCAAACGTTGTATTGTCATATTAACACCATTACTGGTGGCAGAGTGTGTCATAAAAAAATTTGAGAAAACTGAAAAGACAGCCTTTTAGTCAATCCATCTTCTGTTCGCTGATGCCTCATCAGAAATGGTTTCAGTGGCTGTCAAGACGCCAGTGGTAGAAAACAGGGAGAAAATGCTCAGTATGCCAAATTGCACAAGAACTGGGCTGAAAATCAGTGACAGAAGTTCTTATAGAGGGCTGAATCCAGATGTGAAATGTTTAGTTCAAATTGTCAATATGTATAGAAGAGGTTATGGTGGAGGTGCTGTCATGGTTTGGGGTTTCATTTCAGCCAGTGGTGTTGGGGATCTTATTAAAAAGGTTTTGATCAAATATGGAAAACCATGTAGGAAAGCATCTGCTTGGCAATAAGAAAATTTTTCACAAGACTGATCCCCAAACACACCTCCCATGCAGTGAAAGAATATTGGGATAGAAAAAACACACACACAACTGAACCCAGTCAGTCATGGATTTTTCTTCCCAGAGCCCGGAACTTAATATTACTGAAGCAGTGTGGGATTATATTGACAGAGAACAAAACCAAAGTCAACAAACATCCAAAGAATTACAAGAGAAGCACTCAAGGGAACAAGGCTAGGTTAAGAGAGTTCAGTTTGTGTTGATGAAAAAAGGTGGCCATACCAAGTATTGAATTTCAGGCTCATCAGAAATGTCCAATCAGACTTTTTTCTCAGTATACTGTATTTCTATTTTCACATTTTTATAATTTGCTACACCCATTTCCTAGATCCACATCAAAATTAAAAAAAAAAAAAGAGGGGTGGGTAAGCCATTTGCACAGTATTATTTAGCTAATGCGCACATTGCTCTTTACATCAAGACATTTGAGATCAAACATTTATTGTTGTAACCAGATTATATTTTCTTAATGCACTATTTGATTTTTGCTACAGGGCAACACTTTTAATACAAAGCATCCATGTTTTATAATACAAGGATATGAACACACGTGGTCTCATAACACATTAACTTTTTAAACTTGAACTGTGTTTCAGTCTTCTGTAAATGTCCCTGATTAGTTCTTGGTCCAGCCTGCGTCCGTTTTTTGCTGTTGTTCAAGAAATTGAAAAAAAATGGACCATTTATTAATCATTTATGACCTATTGTGCACAAGTCTGTATCTTCAGATGTACTGCCTTTTCTGACACCAGTGACATCTACTGTAATGGTAAAATTAACTAAAAATGTTTAAATTCACCACTTTCATAGAAGGCGCCACTCTAAGCTAGGAGGAAAATAAATATCAGGTGCTGCAAACACACTTTAAATTCAAAAGAAATTGAAGTATAAAAAAAATAAAAATAAAAATAAAAATAAATTTGTTAACATGGAATATCAAACTAAATACTGATATTTTACTGTCAACTATTTTCCTTTTCAGTACAAAATACACAATAAAAGTGTGTTGAAATACCAAACAACACCTGAAGGCAGCATTTAATGAGCTTTCTGTTATGGAAGTTGGTTCAGTTCATGGTATTTAACTCTGTAAACGTTTTCATGTAAAATTAGTTCACAGTGTAGAGGTTTCTGCAGATTTTACAGTAATAACTTCTCGTAAATAATACCTTCCTGCACAAACTACAGGAATAAAAATGAACTCTGGATGACAGTTGATCACGGCCATTATCCATTAGTGTTTAAAAAAAATACAAATAAAAATTCTAAAGATTTTAAATACAGTGTGTCACACATAATACATTCACCATATTGGTTCAAAGTTTTATTTACTGAATCACATCTATGTTTAACAGCTTTACCATAAAAGCATTTTATAGGAAGAAGTTTAAAAATGCACAAAAAAAGGAAACGTAAATATGTAAGCGTACAGTTAGATAAGATATGAGAATAACAAAATCTAAAATGCGTAACTCAACACAACACTGGAAGGAACTTTCCATAAAATGGAAACCCAAATAAAAAAAACGTGGAAAAGACTGTTAGATTCCATGCCGCATGACGTGACGCTTCAGTTCAGAGCTGTTCACCAAATTTCTTCCACAGAACTCACAAGTAAATCGTTTCTGCTCTGTAAGCGAGGAGCACAGGACTTCAGCAGGTTCTTTTGTTGTTGTATCTGAGGGAGGGGACAAAACAAAACAAATCAACAACGTAATTATCCCATACCGAAGATTCCTCAAAATCTATTTATGTTCACAACCCAATACTTACCTACAGTTAGTTATCACAAAAAAGTCGATAAAAGCTCAGAAAAAGAGTAAAAAATTACCATTAGAACTTAAGAAAAACTGAAACCCGAGAACTTCTCATATTTTTTGCTTGAACGACTAAATAAACAATGATCACACACATAGATCATCTCCTTTTGAATCACTTTTTATCATCAGATTTGTCTGTAATCACACACAGTCCTGTTTTTTTTTTTCATTTAATTTTTCAAATTAATATTAGGAATGCACTAAGATACAGTCATGTGAAAAAGAAAGTACACCCTGTTTCAACTCTAAGGATTTACATATCAGCACATAATAAGAAAATATAACAACACTGTATATATGTAATACACTATATGTATTACTAATATTACATTTATTTAACAGAAACTCAGCCAAAATGCAGAAGCAGTGTGTGAAAAAGTAAGTACACCTTATATTCAGTATCTTCTAGAACCATTCTTAACAGCATTTATCGTCTGTATGACTTTATCAGTCTTTACAACATTGCTTCAGTTCAGTTTGAGGTTTTCAGGCATTCATTTAAGCACAGCCAGTCCTGTGGATTGGAAACGAGCCTAAATCATCGCCCCTCCACCACCCTGCTTGACAGGTGCTGCAAGGTGCTTGTGCTGTTATCCTGTTTGGTTTTCTCCAAATGTGATGCTTTGCAGTAT